CCATCAGTTTTAAAATAAAATTTAGTCACATGTTCACTGGAATTGCGCGAGGAATACCAAACTTACTATTCATGATTGATCTCATTTTTAGATTCTACCTGCATTGGTCCTGGTCAGCTAACAAATGGTGTAGTCAATTCAACCAGGAGCATATATCAGCCAAATGAAGCCATAAGGTTTACATGTAACATAAACTACACGAGAATTGGAAAATCAGAACTGATCTGTCAACGAAATGGAACTTGGAATGGATATAAGCCAATATGCTTAGGTAGCTAGGACCAAACCTTTTCCAAACTTTCATCTTAGTTTATAATATAAATAAGATGTTAATATACAACGTACTGAATACTTTATTGCAGAGGTAAGCTGTACCAACTTCCATCACCCTGGAGACGGCAGGAAAAAACCTAAACAAAGCAAGTTCTTGCCTGGAATAAAAATCATTATTGAATGTAAAAGAGGTTACACACTACTTGGAAAGTCGTCCCTCATTTGCCAAAGCGATGGTTCTTGGGATGTACATTGGCCATATTGCTTAGGTAAAGATAAAGGATGCAATACCTCGTTTCTTACTTTGCGTTACTAAGAGCATACATACACATTGACTCTGGCTCATGACTGGCAAGAAAACTGAAAATAGCTCGAGGAATTAGTCGCTTGAATTTAAGCGTACGTGTAAAAGATGAGATCAAATAAATCTCAAAATTAGATAGATTTTAATTTTATATTAATTTTAATTTAAATAGTCGATTTCCTATTGATTTGTATCACAGCGCCATGTCCGAGACCCACACAACCAAAAAATGGCATGCAGGTTCAACTTGGTGACAGTTTTATGCATGGTCAAAGAGTTAGGTTTCGGTGTAACACCGGTCTTAAACGTATTGGTTCATCTCTCACTACGTGCATTAACGGGAAATGGACCAATAAAACTCCAAAATGTGTTGGTATGTGTACAGTAATATTGAATCTGATCTTAAAATTTAATTTGATGTGCAAGTCTCTACAACAGAATGTTTATTTATTTTTTAATATACATATTTTATATTTCTCTGTTTTTTTTTTTTTGTCTTTTGTTTTGTTTTCGTTTCGGAGCTCCATGTCCAGATCCTGGTACACCAATTAATGGTCATCGATACAACCATTCTTTCCAACATGGTGACCAAGTCATGTTTTCTTGCCAAAAGGGAAAGTATTTGATTGGAAGAAAGATGATTACATGCAATGATGGACGATGGGATCAGATAGCACCAAAATGCTCAGGTAAATAGTCTCCTTCACGGTTACCTGCGCCATCTTGAAAGGTAGCCGTGCCTTTACATTGAAGCGAGACAACCGTTGAGCGTGTAACGATAGATACCTGTAAATAATAGACCTCTGCAGCTTTTACGTCATGTACCGTATACTGATCCCACAATGCATTGAAAATCAAGTAGTGACGTAAAAGGTTCAGAAGTCTATTGTCTGTAGGTGTGAAAGAAGGTTTCTATCATTGCACGCTCAACGGTCGTCTCGCTTGGATGCAAAGGCACGGCTACCTTTCAATATAGCGCACGGCAGGGAACCGTGAAGAAGACTAATAAGCGTTACCCGTGGAGATTTTATGGGAGGACTTCTGACTTCTTAAATTTAATAAGATGTTGAATATGCTGTGATGGTTACAGATAACAGGAACTGTCAAGATCTGGGAGACATACCAAATGGAATTATTATCAATAATGGCTTTAAACACGGAGACAAAATATCTATTCGCTGCAAAAATGGTTTTAGAATCAAAGGTAGTCCAGAACTAATATGCAACAATGGACAATGGGATAGCCCAAAACCGAAATGTGTTGGTAAGTAAATTAGAAGTACGTTTACAAAAGTCTCAAAACTACTTGAGAAAAATCTTGTGGGAAATGAGTGGGATGGGAGTATCCCGCGATCAATAACTTGAATTTGCATGTTCATTAAACATTTACGGTACAACAAGGGAGTGGCCAATATTTACATTGGAAATACTTCCTATATTTCGTAGGTGTTTGTGCAACTCTTGGTCATCCAAAGAACGGCCAAATGTTGGATTTTAATTTTGACTATGGTTCCACGGTACGATTTCGCTGTCTCTATAGATCTTCTCTGCAAGGTCCAAAAAATGTGACTTGTAACAATGGAAAATGGAGCAACAGTGTCCCATCATGCAAAGGTAGATATAGAGAGAGAGTTGGCTGAAGAAGGGCGAAGTTGTGAGGCTTTTTCTTCAATTTATTCTATTTATATATATGAGACATGGCAGCTCAAAAGGGGTGCTCATAAGGGCTAAGACCCCTTTGATGACACAACGGTTTATAGCAGTCCAAGGCCGTCGAAGAGATTTTGAAATAAGAACCCTTTTGAGCTGCAACCTATCATATATATAATTGGTGCATGTCGGTAACTGGGAATACGTTTTTCACTACATGCTTAAATGTTTTTCAATTTCTTAGTCCCCTTCACATTTTCCTGCTCCAGGCTTTGAAAGTTAGGCCTAGCTGTGACTTTACATTGGTGCAAGAAAAACCTTCTTTCACACTTCCAGACAATATGGATTTAGCATGAAACAGTCACAAGGTATTAAATCCACTATACTGTATGGTTGTCAAAAGAATGTGAACAACCACAAAAACAAAAGGAACGCAGCCCGGGTCGTCGATTGACTTTTCCTTGTTTTGAACATCCCAGTGGGTATTTTGCCATCCAGCATGGTTGATTGAGAGCCATGTGATCATTTCATGCAAAAGGACTATTCAGTATTCACAGGCGGCATCCTTATACTATTTGCAAGCTCAGCGGTCGTCTCGCCTGGATGCAAAGGCACGCCTACTACAGAAATGTATAGTTTCATAGTCCTTAACCACTGCATCTGCACCTCATTAGATCTCATTAAAAGCCTTGATTATTTTACTACTATGCAGCTTTGATGTGTTGATAAACCAATGGAAAAAAATCTTCATTTGCAGCTAACTGTCTGGATCCAGGACATCCTACTAACGGAGAAAGACAAGGAGATCTTTTCAATCATCTACAGACGGTGAGCTTTTCTTGCAAAAGAAATTTCACGATGATTGGCTCCTCTAAAATACAATGTAATGATGGAAGATGGACTTCTGGAATACCGTATTGTACAGGTATATTGGTGGTTAGTAATAGAATGCTCACTGAGTAAGCGATGGTGAAGCTAAAACACAATATATCCTACTGACGAATGTTTGATAATTCTTTCTTTAGAGTGCGGGTCTCCACTCGGAATGGAGAACGGAAAGATTCCAGATAAAAACATTCGAGCTTCTTCAAGGTTGGACAATGGTCATGATGCAAGGTACGGTCGATTACACGGTTCAAGAGCCTGGTGCCCAGAATATCTCAGAGCCGAGGACATCTTCTACCGAGTACCATCATGTGCACCACATTATCTGGAAGTAGATCTAGAGAAACCTTACAAGATAACGTACATAGCTACGCAGGGAAGTGCCCGTGATAATAAATGGGTGACGAATTACACTTTAAGCCATAGTTTGGCAAAGTCATCTCGTATCGAATACAAGGAAAATGACAAAGAAAAGGTATCATTAAGCAAAATTAAACTTTTGACATTCTGTTTAATTAAGAATGCCCACACACAAAAGAACTGAAATTAAAGCTCCAAGAAAATAAATATCTTCATGACAAAAGGTCTCTATGATGTTTTTGCAGTCGCACTTATCAGACTTATCATGAAGTTTGATATTCGGTGATATATACAATGGGTAATTCTTGATCAGAAACTATAGATACCACCTCCTACTATAACCACTTCTATAACCACTTCAACCACGTATTCTACTCAGGTATTCAACGGCAATAGCGATGCAACAACTGTGATGAAGCACAAATTAAAGAATTCGTTCATTGCGAGAAAGGTGCGTTTTGGACTATTTGGATATAGATTCCCTAGATGTCGGTTTGACGTCTTTAACTGGTCGACGTCGTGCATGCGAGTGGAGATATACGGATGTGAACTTCCTACTGGTAAGTATTCAGGCAGGATCTGGACGGCAAATTCCTCATTCCATACACATAACAACATCACAAAAACAGCAACAATAACAATAAAAACATTAATTTATTTTCAAAAACTCATACATAATTAATGAGTTAATAGGCAAATAGGATGATGCTATTTGGTCACATGCATGGACCTTTATATCTGATAAAACACTACTTATTAGTATTCTTTATATAAAGAATACTAATAAGGGTGACCTTTATCAGATATAAAGGTCCATGACCCTAGCAAAGGTCTTAGGTTTGAAACCTGATCATTGACCAATGCAGGATGTCAACCCATTGCATTGAACAGCCAAGAGCGGTTTATTTTACTTTATGCGTATTCAATGTGGGACGACTAAATGGTCATTAACATCAATTCCATCGTTGCCAATATTCATCCAAACCAAAATAGTTTTTACGAATTGCACATCATGGCATAAAAAACTGAAGGAAGTCGAAAATCAAATGCGAATCGAACCTTTTAGGGACTGTGCGATAATTATCAGGAGGGGGGGGGGCGTAAAACCAGATTTCTTAAGCAGGAAATTAGTTAGAACCCCCT